CGCCGACTTTTCTGTTGTGACCAAGTCGCGCAAAAATTGGTGCCTGCTTCCCAAAGCGACGGGGACACTGCGCCCGGGCCCACTGACTTTGTCTGAAAGTTAGTGTCTGTGTGTGTTTAAGCCTCCAAACTGCCGTCCTCTCTCCTAGGACAAAGGATTTGGCGCGTCTCGGCTGCCGGAGTCCGCGACAGGCACGTCCCGCCAGAGGCCCCAGCCTCCCGGATGGAGCCCTCCGGACGCGGGGCGGGCGGCCGAGGAGCGCGCTTCTCCCGGGCCTGCTGCGTTCGAGCAACGGCCAGCGGCAATGCCACTGCCAGCCCCACAGCTCAAGATGTCACCGGAAGTGCCACCAGAGGGGGAGGCTTTCCGTGGGGCCCGGGAGCGCGCCCTCTGCATGGGGAGCCGGGCTGTCGCTAGCAAACCCGCCCACGTGGGTGCGCTGACAACTGCAGCCCTTTCTGGCCTCTGCGTTTCACTCACAGGCTGTTGCCTCGCTGGCGACCCTTGCTCTTCTGCAGGACCACCGTTAGTCCCCTAACTTCCCAAAGCCCACGTCCACGCTCTGCGTGCACAAGGGAGCTTGCGCACTCCACCGGCAGCGCGAGCTCTGGGAGGCTAATGAGCTGGGCTCACGGGCCTCAACTCTGGGCCCAGGGGCAAGTTCAACATAAAAAGCGAGGCCTTGCCCAGCACCGGGGCTCGGGGCTCGGGGCTCGCCCTTGCTCTCTCTCCCAGCTGTTTGTGCTAACTGTCCCCCGGGTCCTGGCACCACGTAAAACCCACTTCCGGAACAGCAAGAAAAGGTGACAGGGCGACTGTCCACGAGGCCCAGAATCACACGCGGGGAGTCCACTGGGAAGGGAGGGCGGCCTCCTTTCTGCCCTGTAGGCCCTTTGCCCTGCGGGGATGCTTTTTCCGGAAGCGGGGACCCTGCTAATCACGTGACCCCCGCCAGGACGCTTCTCTCCCATGACCCTTTGCAAGTGGCTGGTTTTCTCCAGTGATAAACTATGGTTCACTTTGGCCTGATTTAGTTTCTAATAATAGTTCTCACTTTGAGATGTATGTTGGAGGGTTGTTTTGTTTTAGGTTTTGCCTTTTTTTGCTGACCTTCGGGCAAATGGAAGTTCTGGTTTGTGTTGAGAAGTGTTGAGAAGCTTTGAGAAGCGCAAAGTCTCATTTTCTCTCTTCTCGTTTTTTTGTTTTTTTTTTTTACTCCAGCTACCTTCTCGTCCCTGCCAAAAACTGACACGCGGATAACAGCCCTATCATCTCTTTGGGCTAAAGCTTTTTGCTCCGAGGTGGGCTTACACCGGGTGCACACCTGGGCCCTGCGGAGTTCTGATTCAGCGCTGCTTTTCCTAAGCTAAGCTGGTCTCACCTAGTTTCAGAGCCCCAACCCAGGTGATCAGATGGGGTGACAGTTATAAAAAAAATCTGCTCCTCTGACTGGCGCCCCCAAGACTTCCATCTTGCGAGTGGCACGGAGCTGTCTGCCAGTCCAGCAGACGCGCCTGTCTTGAGGGAGCTGTTTAGCTTGGCGTGCTCTGCCAGGCTGCGGGTGTTCCCGGGCGCTGCGCTCCAGCCCTGGGTGTGATGGTGCTGGGCGCCAGCGCCTCCTCTAATCTGGATTAGGAAACAGGGCCACGAAGTTAAGTGGCGAGAGAACAGGGAGAGCTTTGTTCTGTCCTGGGAGCCCGGGGGCACTGTGTGGTGCAGCCTCTGAAGCATTGGGTGGGCGGCTACCTGCAGGCCTGCATTTCTCTGCGTTCTGTGGGAAACAAGCAGGGGCCTTCAGAAACAATGGGCCTAATGAGCTTCCTCCGCGATGCTCAGGCACTGGGGCAGGGGGGGACAGGGCGGCCCTTGGATTCTCAGTGGGCTGGCACTGCCTTGGTGGGGCCTGTGGCTGTGACGACAGACCCCATCCCCAACCCCAGCCCTCGGCAAGCTTGCAGGGAGCAACCCTGCTCACATCTCTTGCCTGTCCACACGGAGGGCTGGATCAACTTCCCGGTTAGCCTAATTTTGTCGTCCTTATAAACACACCAATATTTGTTTAGTCAAAGGGCACCCTGCACCTGGCGCTGCCTTTTAGCTAGACGCCTCCCAAACACACTTTCTTAAGGAAGGGGCAGGAAAACGCGCCACTGCCCCCATGGATGGCTTCCCTCTCCTCAGAGGAAAAAGGTTCTTTACTGCAGGACTCACCCCTGACTGTTTAAGTAAAAATGATGTATAAACTTTGAAAGGCCAGCGGTTTTTTTTTTTAAGCAGTGATAAGAAATATGTGGGGGAAAACTCTGAAATAAGCATCCAAGCGTTTGCAATTAAAAAAAAAAAACCAACAAAAATTGTAAACTTTTTAAAATAGCTCATCCTGTAAACATTACCTGATGTTTACATTTAAACATTTTCTAAATTGGGATGAAATTGTAAGACACATAAGATACACTTTCCTTCCCTGACACCAAATACGTAGATGATACGGGGACACCAGGACACTGACGACAGACACTGGCCTTCCCATGCCCAGCGCGCGGTCTTGAGACCTCTGTTAAAGGTAACCCCGGTCCCCTGCAGCTGGCAGCCTCTCGAGACTGCAGGCCCGCGGGCCTGGCGCTGGGCAGAACGCGGAAGCAGCGGCGAGCACCTTCCGACGCTCCCGGGGATGTCTGCGCTGAGCGGCTAGGGGTGCTCGGCACCGCGGGCAAGTCTGCCAGCTTGCCTCGCGTAATTTAAATAAGCTGCTTCGGCGCTGATGAGGCATTTGGAAAAGTGTCGCCCAGCTGCCCTTGTGCACTTGCCACCGTAATCCTTCATGGGGTGCTCGTCCCCACACCCAGCCTGTCTCCAGGCACCTGCGGCGGATCCCCGAGTAGGAGGCCGCGGCCGCTTTGGTCGGTGGCGGTTCTTCTGAAGGCAGGAGGCGAAGGGGGCTGTGACCGCGAGACCGCGCCGCGGCGGGGTCGCGCTCGCTGCCAGCAGTGGACTCGCCTTGGCCAGGCTTCAGGGCGGATACTTGTGCCACCCTGTGACATTAAACAAGCAGCTGGAAACTTGGCGGTCCCTTTTCAAACTGTCCTGAAACATTTTCTACGGTTGGAATGCTCACAACTATAGGACTGCAAAATGGCTTGAATTAGGGGCGGTGTTCGGACCACGCGTTTGGCCACTTTCCGTCCTGGGCGACCAGCCTCCAGCCTGACAGCGAGCGGAGCCTGGCGCTGGGAGGGCGCGCAGGGGAGGGACGCGGCCCCCACGCCTCGCGGAGCCGGGCTGGTCTTCGAAGCCACAAGGTGGCCTCGCCCCACTGGGAAAGAAACCCGGCCACCATTCGTTCCCCGCCAAACTTCACTTCATCCCAAAGTGCCCTGCGTGATTCTGACGGCCCTGACCTCGCCGGGTCCCCAACCCGCCCGCGTTTGAACTGAGTTTCTACCGCCGGGATCCGCGCGGGCGGCACCGGCCAAGGCCGAGTGCGCGAGCTCAGCGCTAGAGAACAGGAGACACCTATTGGCAAGAAGGCGCGCTCGAAATCAGGGCCGCTTGGGGAACACCAGGGGGACACCGCTTCCCAGTCTGTGCTGCCGCCGCG